GCGGAATGAAAAGGGAAAAAGAAACTAGTGTAGAGGAATCCTTGAGGTGTTAAATCCTCTGTGATGTGAATTTTTCATATATATATGGGCCAACAATATGTAGTTACAAGGGTCTTGCTTATCAATAAACTAACATTGGTTACACTTTGACAGTATGGTATATTCTAATCCACGTTTTCACCATAATGGGATTTCCTTTGAGACATTGTCGTGCTATATCAGGCCTCGTTCCCCTACCGATTGCCAGCAAATGAAAAATGTAGCATGACTAGGCTAGTACCACTGTGTCCTTACTGCTGAGACAGCCTCACAGTCATTTCAATGAACCTTATTTATGCTGGTTTAAGTCAAGGTGTAACTGTGTTCAGGCTTAAATTATGCATACATAAAATCAAGTTTTTTTCCCAGTTGTATGCCAGTACCTTAGGTAGTAAATGTTTTCATATGTTGTCATTTCAATCCCAGTTTTGCCATGTAAGCTCAGTAGAACTAATTGATAAAGAATTGCATCATGCTCTGTGAGATTCTAAGAAAGGAATACTTCTCTGTGATACTCATTGTTCTCAGTGAGTATTGTCCTGGTTTTAGCTGGGACCGGGTTAGCTCTTCTTTTTAGCAGCTAGAAGAGCTCCGTGTTTTGGTTTTACTCAGAGGCTCGCTCTGAGAAGAATGCTGATAGCAAGTTGATGTTTGAGACTCCAAGGACATTTCAGTGTGCCGGAGTGAGATAAGGGAGGAGCATAGCTGGGACAAGGGGGACACAATTCCCCTTGTGATTTGTGGTGGAACTTAAGATTGAGGGCCAAACTGGCCAATTAGTATTCCATATCCTGCAGCGTCATGCCCAGTATAAAAGTGAGGGTCAGCCGGACAGAAGGGCTTTTGCGCTTTGGCTCTTTCGCCGCTTTTGCTCTTTTGCGCTTACTGCGCTTTTGCTCTATTGCCTTTTTTTCCCCTCTCTCTCCCAGTACTCTCACTCTCAGAGTACTCTCTCTCTCTCTGCCCCTCTCTATTTCGGGGCCTCGCGTTCGTCCGGGATTGCAGCTTCGGGACGAGAC